AATCAAGCGAAACCCAGGAAATATGAATAATCTGCAACACCACTGACATATTACAAAGACAAATCATAGCCAGTCATCAGTGGCACTCAACATGGTTGTGAAACTTTGATTATAAATCACTGTCACAACTGCAGCTTTAAGGGGGCATCAACACACAGCCCGTTCCACCTTAAGTATATAACACTCTTGACGTTATGTTGTACAGAATAATAGAAAACTTTGTATGAAAATGATTAAAGTTACAATTGTTTAATCAGTGCACTGCTGTACACTTCCCTGTTGAATTCAATTCATTAAATCTAATCCTGATTAAAGCTGCCAGGTTCCTGCTTCTCCCTGGTTAATGGACTGGTCATCACTCACTTCAGGCTCAAGTGATGAACAGTTGATTAACAACTTTAAAAATTGCTATGGTGCAACACAATTACTATATATATTTTTGTATTACGTGTTCCTACAGCAGTGGTTCACCAACATTTTTCATAATAATAATACAATAATAATTCTATTCTAAATAATTCTAAATAATAATTAGTTAAAAATATTCCTAGAGTATGATATGGTCCTACAGTCACACTGGTTTTTGTTTTTTTTATTTGAAGGGCACCTCAGAAACTATATATAAGAAATGGACAAAGGTCTCTGTGGTAACATTCCACTGACTGACCTGTGCTCTCCATTATAGATACAAGGTTTGTTTTGTAAATTACAACTGCAACAGAAAAAAAAAGAAAGGATAAAAGGCTGAATACGATTGGTCACTGCGTGTGTTCAGGGGTCGGGTCATCCAGCTGTTGCCCTAAGCGGTTAACAGTCAGTGATTTCATGTTGTTGTGAACGCCACACACACACTAACACAGGCTTATGACCCGGACGCCGTCACATAAGGCTGACAGTCTGAGGGCGCAGGAAGCAGATGACAGATTTATAACACACACTTGTTGTGGTTTAAAGGGTGTGTGTTCAAAAACGTTACATTATCTTCCGCTCCATCATACTGTTACACTTCCTCCTGCTGCACTTATCTCTCTGGGGAGCAGTAAAGGTCATCATGTGTGGTCTGGTTTTGCTCTCTCTCTCTCTCTCTCTCTCTGAGTCTCTCTCAACACACGCACACTCATTCACAAGAAAATATGAAAAAAAAAAAACTGAAATACACCCATAAAGAACAGAACATAAAATCTATGGTATAATCCTTGATGGTGAAGTCAGGGGGCAGCGTGACACAAACTTGACACAAATCTACTGTGAGTGCAGCAAACCGGTGCTGGCTGGCCTTTGTTGCCCCTCTGTGTCTTAATGGGGTCTGGACCAGGATAAAGGTTCCGTCTGAAGTGTTTGAACTCATTGAGTTAATGTGAGCTCTGCTGCAGGTAGGACTCTGTCCAGGCCTCTGGTTGTGTAACAGATAAAAACATCTGATTTATGTAATATTTATGTATTAATTACAAATCGAATTTGTTTATGAAATGAAAACGTGATTTAAAAAAAAACTATTTATAAAAATTGTTCCAATGACATTGGTCGATGATGTCATAGTTTATCTTACAGCCATGCTGGTCATTAGCATTTCCTTTCAGGTCCTGATATTTTGCTAAGAGGTGTCATTTAGCTGTTCATATGGAAATGAATGACAGCTGCATCTTGATGTGGAAAACCAGCTGCAGCCCTGTTTACCTAGGATCATTTAGGGGAGTACAGTTTGTGGTTACAAATATTGTGCCTTATATGGAAATATGCAAAGTAGACGAAGAATCTAAAAAATATTTTACACAATCTATATAGCACGTTTCTAGTGACTCTTCTATGATTTTAATATCAAACGTTTGCCTTGATTTATTTGAATTCTTTATTTTATTTTTACGTTTTTAGATTAAATGCATATATTATGTTATAATAAAATTATAATTTAGGAGACAAAATCTATTCAACCTAAACATTTAATAAGGGCTGTATTTTTAAGATAGTAAAATTATTAATTTTAGAGAATTATTTTGATAAAAAAATGTTTTTAACATAATTTGTCTTTAATTTGCCATTCATTTTATTTATCTGCAGAATTATGTTGCAGATTATCTTGTCAGTTATGTTTTAGTCGCAAATCTCAGAAGACAACTTTTAGGATCATTAATCCATCACTTAACGCAGGATTATCTCCTAAATAAACGACTGCATCCACACGGGGAAATCCAGAAGCATTTGCAAAAATAATTGTCACTTAAAGACTTTTTTTTGCATCAATTCACACTATTCAAAACTGAACACAAAACATGAGTGCCGATCGTTCCAGGGAGAATTCAGACACATGTAAGTCATCACCAGGGAAAACACAGTCATGAGGTAGAAATTAAATGCTTACTGAGGTTCCTGAAGGCACTGCTTCCACTGGACAAATGTAATAACTGAGCGATGGAGGCAGCCAATCTGCCAAACTGAAAACAAGACTGTGAGCTAGTACTTTGTCTGCAGTCTGTCACAGCAGCCTGCCTGCTGAGGTGCTAAAACTGTCTGGACTTTCTCCTTTGTCTCTGCCCTATCTGCCAGTTCCCTCTGGACAACAATAGAGAACCACAAAGCCAAATATTTGCAGAGAGAACTCTATACTCCAAACTACCTACTGAACTAAAATATGGCCATTTTGAGTTTTTTTTTTTTTTTTGGAGTATCATTTAAATTGGGTGAAGTGCCATTCTCTGCTGTCAGACGGAGCATCTAAAATGATCCCTGCGCTGCAGCTCCCATGGTGAAGTGCTCCAGAGTGGCATAGAGCCGAGCGCTACTCTGGAGCACTTCAAATCCAGGAACTTAGGCGAAACAGAAAGGAAGGAATTTGTTTTGACACACAAAGTCAATCACTGTAACAGGAAGAATCTCCTTTGACATTTTCACTTTGGCATCCACTTCAAGGCCGTACACACAGGGGATAATCTGTGACGCCATACTGGCACAACTTTAATGCCAGATGCCCTCCCGGATGCAATTCTCCCAATTTATTTGTGCATGTGATGTGGCACGGGTTTACATCTTCTGTCCCAGGGAAACAAAGTCATAAAAATGGATTTAAACCTGTATTTTTTTAATTAACCTCTCGTAAAATACAATATATTAATATTTAATAATTGCCCCAAAAAAGTTCCCATTTGACGCCAAACCTGACATTAAGGCAACAACAACGACACCACTGTTTCAAATGCAAACAGGCTAAAGGCTCCAAGGTCATCATTTGGTGCTGTGCCTTTGGAAACTTTAAACTGTGTAGTTTGACAGCTGTATATCTAAATTTAAAAAGCTGCATTTTCTCCCTCAAAACAGAGACACATACTTTCCACTCTGAGCTGTGGCCTCAAATCCCGATTCTTCTAACCCTAACTCTTCAAAATCATCGTCCCATTTGGTCCCAGCTTGGAAAAAAAAAAGAATAAAATGACTTTTTTGTGGAAAGGAAGAAGAAGCAAACACCAAACTCGAAACCGAGTAAACACCACTCACAGACTGAGCTTATTTTTTTCTTACGACAGAATGTTGAATCAGCTATAAATACACGACTATGTTATAATTGTTTTCCTCTGCCATCTAAACCAACGAGCCTAGAGGTCCACTGCGGTGCAGCGACGGACCACATCAGTGGGAAAACGCTCTGTACCTCAGAGCCTGGGCCAACTGCCCATTGAATGCAAAGGAGCCTTTGCCAAAACACACAGGACCAGCCTGGAGCGCAGTGTGTGTGTAGTGTGTGTGGAAACAGCTATGGCAATATTTGGGCGATCACAATGTCAGACTAATGTAAATCCTTGAAGGTTTGGAGAAGTAAAAACTGTCCAGGTGATGCTGCAGTAATGAGTGACTTCTACAACTCCTGTGGTGGCTGCAGTTTCAGTGAGAGCTGTGTGAAAGCTGTGAAATGACCCAGAGATCACAGCGTACAGCCTGTAACAGCGCCCGATGCGGGACGTGCTCGACGCGTACATCGTGTTATTGTGTTAAAAATCACAGACGGACGCAATTGATGCAGCAAAAGCTGACAACGACAGCGTTCCCTCCTCCATCTGTTCCACCGTATCGGGAAACAATACGTGCCAGTGTGTCCGTCAATACAGCAGTCAATATGCAGCTGCCTTCCTCACATGCAACCTATCTGCAACTTAGCCCACATGCTAATTGGTCAGTTTTGAGTGAGCTGAGAAATGCACACAAAGACATGTATTTACTGCTTTCTACATGTAAACAAACCAATAGTCACTTCCAGCATCCATACTCAGGAAATGACAACTTTTCTCTGCGGATTTGTCGATTATTCTATAGTGGACCAACTGTGGAGCTCACATCTGATTTTCTGGGTTAGATGCTGCATCATTTCCAGAAATGGTTCATATTGTGCTTATCAGTGACACGTATTGGAAATTATGTGAAGACAAAACCTGCAGCCATCCCTGCCGTTTCTGAGATTCGTTCGATTTCTCAACATTTTCTTTTTCCTCCAACTTCAACATAGACTGGTCAGCTGACAATAGCAATAACATTTTAAAATCACACCTCATCTACATTGACATTACCACCTCGTAATTCTAACATGACAACACAGGTAATCACTGAATCCACACAGGAAATACAACTACACTTCCTATAAGCAAGATTTAAAGCGAAGAATCAAAGTCCGTTCATTCATCCTCTACCACTTCATCCTTTTCAGGGTCACAGCAGACGTGTCCAATCCCAGCAGTCATTGAGGGACGGGGTGGGCAAGGCATCTCTTCATGTAAGGCAAGAAAACAATCCACTCTACCATGGTACTGCCCAAACAAAAACGGCTGCATGTGACTTTATCTGATTCCATTGTTTACATTTTAGAAATGTCCTTAACTTTAAGGGTAAACAGTCACGTGCAGGACAGCAGCTGCTCTTTCACCTGCTGATAACAACCACTAGGGGCACCTTAGTCAACAGCAGTAACAATAATAATAATAATAATGATGATGATGATGATGATGACGACGACCTACCAGACATATGATGCTGAGAAGTGAGATGAGGAGAAGGTCCAGGTGGTGGAGCAGCAGTGTGGATCCCATCCCTGACTCCTTTCAGGGCTCGAACAGCGGCTGCTGATGCTCAGAGAAGACGGTCTTTGTTTTTGTTTAACTCTCTTCAAAGTAGTGACAGTTTTGCTTTCTTACTCCATCTGGCTGCTCGGTGCTAACGGCTGCTTGTGAAATCATAACTCTGAAATCTCGTCGCTCTGCCCTCGTTTTAATTTCTTATAATCTTACTATATGCCCAGGCTGCGGCCGCTCTCTTTATTTCTCTGCATCTGTCTTTTTTCCTCTTCTGAAATTACATCCACATGTCAGAACTATTTATGTCGCTCTGCGGTGGGAAGTTCAAATGACTCTTTGTAGGGAAGAAACCAACGCTGTATTTTTAGGTCTTTTAAATTTCCCCTCAGACTAACTTAAACACTTCAGTATGGAGCCGTGCGCCTTATGGCTTATTCCAGTCCTCTCTTCCAAATGTTAGATCAGTGTTGGACCAAAATAAGGCCGGGGATGTGTCACTCCATCACCGACCTCTGTTGAATTTCACAATATGCTTTTGACTCACAGAACCATCAACACAGACAGCCATCTACAACCGACCGGCTCTCACACTGGAATCACTCTTAACATTTGTCACTAAGGTGGAGTTATCACTCTGAGTGAATGGATCTTCCGGATTTGTGTTAATGAACACGGCAGGCTGCAGCTGCGCTCCGCCGTTCTTTACGCGTCTCTCGCTCCGGCTCCATGCGCTCAAAACGCAGCGTGGAAATGTGTCATGTTTGACATTTCCGAAGCCGAAAGACAACCAACCAACGACTGCATGTACGAAACTCCCCGACGAGCTGCGTGTTACAATCGTGAAGTAAAAATCAATCTAAATGAAGGAATTTATTTTTTACTTACTACGGAAAAAGAGACAAAGTCGCCCTGACGCACGAACGGCTCACGAGCGCATAAGTAAAGCAGCGCGCAGCGAATGCAAAAGTTGAAGTTTTGTCGTGTTGGAAAGCGGCTCCAGATGTGGCAGGCTGCAGGTCGTGGTTACTAGTGAGTATGTGGATGGAAAAGGAGAGGTGGGGGTCGGGAAGGAGGCAGGTAGGGTGGAGCGTAAAAGCCTCTCATTGGTGCGCCTTCTCTTACGTGGGAATAAACCACGACTCCGAAATGACATATTTTCTCACCCCTCAAACAAACTCCACATTCAACAGATCGCAGGGCTTTTGCCAAACCACCGTTTTCCCCCTGCAGTTTCTCAAAAGTTGCATCCAGTAGTGTTGGGTTACCGAGACATAATACAGGAGATGTTCGGGTTTTTTTTTTTTAAATCTCAGGTTCTCCTGCTGTTCTTGTCTTATCTGTACTTTAATACATATTTTAATGACAGCTTTAAAAAGTGTCACTTATTTGAAAAATTAATGCTGAGGAATAAAGCACTGAGGATTATATAGTGCATTTATAATAATAAACCATGTATTTACGAGCTATCTTTACTAGAATTAAGATTTTAGAAATGTGTTTCTTGCCTATAGAAGACAGAACATGTTTCAGACGTGGTTTTCAAACTTTTTTTCTGCAGTGACCTATCGTCGAGCCCCCACCTCCAAAACTCCACTAAACTTTAATACATGTTTACCCCCTACAAAAAAAAAAAGTTCTCTTCGGACTGAGGAAATTAAAGTACAAAACAGTGAATCTCCCCCTGTGGCACTAATAAAGAAAAATATTGACATAACTTTCCTCCCTCTGTTGTGGGTTGGCTGCTAAATTGTGAACTACTTGATTAAGGAAAAAGATTGTGGTTGGTGGGTGGGAAAATCAATAAGTGCTGTCAACACCAGGTCGTAACAACTGCGAGAAACCTAAAGGTAGAGTTAATAAGAATTTACAAAAAAAAAAAAAGAAATTCACATCCTTCTTCTCTATCCAAGGTGTGATGACGCAACAACTTAATCACCTACGCTGGTCAAATGACACTAATGCAAGCTCTTAAGAATGTGCTAATAAACTAAGGTGCAGAGCCTTAAGAGAACATACAGTATGTACCAAAGTGGACAGCAGTGTACATGGTTCAGCTGCTCTTATGGAATGATGGATTATGGTTGTGTGCCGACATGGTACACACTCGGTGGAAAGAACAATAGTTCAGCCTCTGATTGGCTGCTCCTGATTCATGACTGTCACACGGAGAGCAGAGGTTTGATCTGAAGGAGCCGTGCAGAAGCGCCATCTACTCTCCTGTGGATTCTCCTCACATGTCGACATGGTCTACATGTGCAGCAGCAGCCAGAGATGTTCATCATGAATGATTTGAATCTTTGATGCTCGTCCGTCATTTTACAGGAGCCGAGCGACAACTGGAGTGCACTCATTTAGTTTCCATTTATACTTTGATGGGTGAATTGAGGAAATCAGAGAGAAGTCGCTCTCTCTGTCGTCTAAAATGAGGGATAAACAGAGGCACTCTCTCCTACGACCTGAAGTGCAGGGAAATGTTAACAACAACAACCACGCAGCCTAGTCTGAAGTACAAAGTCTCAGCCTTGCCGTTGTCCCTGTGAAAAATTTCAAAGACGCGTCAAAAATAATAAATGTGATTTCTTTCCAGTGCGCTCTCTGTGTTCTCAGTAATCTTCAGCTACCTCTACAGTGTTAAACCAATTTGAAAAATAAATAAGTAAAAACATATAGTGGTTTATTTCCACTCACTAGGTTCAGTTTTAACGCTGGACACTTTTGCATGCATTTTCCTCAAAACACACGTATTCTATTCTAATTTGCATCACATTAATTGTTGTCCATTGTTCAAGAAAAAATAATTAAAAAATAAAAATAATTAGTTTTTCTACATTTTAACAATAAACAGGAAACATTCTGCTCCGATCTGCCTCATGTTTGCATATAAACAGTCTGTTGGTAAAGATAATGCATATACTACAGTATAATGGTCCTTAATATATCTTCAGCTCTACTACAGTATAATGGTCCTTAATATATGTATATATATATATATTTTCTTCTTCTTCTTTCACGTTCCTCTTTTGAACGTGGACGTTCGTTTCTAACATTCCACTTAATCTTAATCAGGCGAGGCGTCAGTCGGATCATGAGTAGCTGATTCCTGGGGTGAAAGATAATGCACCATAATGAACCTGTCATAAACAAACAGCCAGCGTTGAGACATGTGACCCTGTGGTTGCGTTTCTGCAGTGCCACAACAGAGCGCCTCACTGTGGGGGTTCTTAAATACCTCAAGCTATGGTAGAGATAGTTTTTTAAAAAAAGACACATTAAAGAAAAGAAATTTAGAGATATATAAGTCAAACGTTCACTGAGAAAGGTTCAATTCTGCGCTCCGTCACTGCATATCTATGCATAGCATTTATTCTCCAGGCAGTTTGAAGATTTCCCTATTCCACCCTTTTGATCCTGTCCTGCATCCTGCGCTCTGATATTTATCACAGAGACACGACGTATCCTTCCCATCCTTCAAGAATGACTAATATCCACCTGCTGTGTCCCCCGTGTTGGTTGAATGTCAGCGACTGGACACGTGAAGAGGATAATAGTGGACAAGAATTAGAAAATGACTGGCTGATGGGTGTTAATTCGCCGAGTCATTCACCGCAGCTGAGTCCAAATTCAAATCAAATTATGGTGGCTGGTTTTGGCGAGGTGCCACCGACCTATCAACGGATACAGACTTCCTCTGATTCACTCTCTGAGTAGGATGTCAGAATTTTCATCGCCTGCAGCTCCATCTAACATCATTTGCTCTTGTTATACATCTGCATGTGTGTCACTCAATCCAAAATGGCGACAAAGGCGAAGTGATTAACAACGTCAGCGCCTCTGTCGTTAAGACAACAACAAAAAAGACCAAACAGACTGGTCCAATCAGAACTGTACACGTCAACAGAGTTACAAACACATATACACACATTGTCCTGTTTATACTCTCCATACACTGTAGGTCAGGGGTGTTCAACCTGTGGCCCCTTGAGCCACATGTGACCCTTTAGACAACATCATATTTGCTGGAATGAGTAGCAAAAACCACGTGTCCAGTGTGAACATACATACAGTACATCCATAGCAACTGAACCAGATCTGCTCTCAGTGTCACATCCACAGATGTATATTGTAAATCGTACACGAAAGCTTTCCATCTGAGGTTCTTGTTTATCCAAAGCAATTACATCAAGGGCAACTGGACTGGTAGGTTTTAGATTCCACCTCTCATCCAGGAGGCTTCTCCACTAATGTTTATTCCACCTGGATGTAGGGAACACGCGTACATCAAATGAAGCCGTTCTAACCCCCACATGTCTCCTTTATCCCTCTGATTTCTCCAGTCTTTGATCAAACACATGGTCAGAAAGATAAGGGGTATTGACGTAAGCAATGACCTTCGCTGACCTTGAGAACACAACTACAGCGACACAACTGTGACACGTTGCCCTGTGACAAAATGACTCATGTCTCAGCACGCCTCATGCTGGGGTTCTGACTAATTGCCATTTTGTGTTGTAGAAAAAAAAAACTTTTAAGAAATCACCTTGAGAAAGTTCACATGGAATCAAGATATGACCAAAAATCAAACACAAATCTGAGCCTTTTGATGTTTTAATTAGAGTTTACCTGGTCAGAACGCTGTGGTCAAATTTCAGTTTGGTGATTTCATGCACACAATTATGTATCTTTTTCATGTCGATCCTTATTTGTGGTAACAGTTATGTCACAGAAAAAATATATATAAATTCACAGCGGTGGGTGAACTTTTTTTTTCCTATATTTGATATGTTCCACATTAATAAATTTAATTACTGTGTAGTATACTGTGCAGTCCAAGTGGAAGCAGAATAGTCTTCAGCCAAGCACAAAAAGTTTGTTTAATACTAGCCAACGTTCACCAAATGAGGGCGCTGTGACTCTGTCTTTACCTCTAAACCACTTTGATAAACTATTTGATGCACAAATTCTCTAAGTCTGCCAGCAGTCATGCTTAAAAATGGGTGACATTTTAAAGGTTTTAAAGTTCTTGTATATCAGGGTCCGTTACAACAATTGAATACTCACTGTACTGCTGTGTGATACTCTCTATCACACAGCAGTACAGCATAAATCCTGCTGTGGCCACATGGCTACAGAGCCTGTGTTGGAGTGAGGCCCGTGCAGCCTGGCACCAGCTCTACTTCTACACACTGACCTGGATACTACATCAGGTGGAAGTTGGACAGGGTACAAATTAATTACATGGCCAATCAATTCACTGACGGCCTTGTGAAGTCGACTTTTAACACGCCTTGGCTACCAGGAATCCAGCTGGTGCGTTACCCATCTATTAGTGTAAGTGCGGGCTGAGACACTCTGTCCTGAGTGCTGGTAAATGACAGTGGAGCGTGTGTCGCCGCGGCTCCTCAGAGAGGTCGCACGGAGCCGTCTGGGAGCTGAAGTTTATAAATGAGGTACAGAGTTCTGTAAGTTTTGGACGCCTCTGTATTATCCAATCAGAGTGTAAATAAAAGGGCCGTGCCAAGACTGGGACTATATTTGATTACCAGATTGATTGACATATTGTAAAACACCAGATACATGTAAACAGTACAAGATTGTAGTGGTCAGAGTTTTTTTTTTTTTTTTTTTTTTAATTTTTTTAGCTCTTTTTCCCCCCCCCCTGGCCGGGACGGCCGGG